ATTAAGAATGTTTATACATACACGATTTTCAGCTGCCTGGGATACGTATACGTGAGTAAATTGTTTCGTTATTTTATTGATTATTACAAATCAATATTCAAAACGACCCAATTCATTTTCCCGAAAATTTGAGAATATAATAATTTTATTCTTAGTATTACACTACATCTATCCCAAACTGATATACGTGTCCTTGCAAAAATGTTGATGACGTCATCGCAATTTTTTTTTTAATTCCCACTACAAAAATGTAATGAGAAAAAACACAATAGGCATGCAGTCGTCAAGTTTCCGACAGCGAGGGAAGTACTGTCTAAACTCTTTAGACCAATTTTTTTCAGTAGTTATTAGTTGAATTATACTAGTAGTAATTTTTGATACTTCATGTTGGTGATTTTGGTCACATAAACAAAAATAGAGGTAAGAGGTCCACTAATAGTGTTCTGTCACGGAAATTTTCATAGTTTAAATACCATAATTTCCTACATTGTAGCCTTCAGTACTTATACATCTTTAAATATAATCTTGAGGGGTAATAAATCTAAGCCGTGGTAAGATGGTATTTTAAAAACCATAAACCACAATTTACTTCACTATTCACTGCATTTTACCCTTATCCGGGGCAATGCATTTTAACTGTGTACCTGAGCAACCCGGGTCCGGTAGGCCCGCTGGTTGTATTTTTGTTATCAAATAAGAGTAATTTTAATAGTAAAAATATTTGTTTAAGGTATGTTATTACTTTTAGAAAATAATAATTGCGTGTTACATAATGATTAATTTTTTCAATTAGCACAAATTGGTTCTGTAATCGACTAATCGAATGTTTAATACATACATTTCTCTCGCATAAATCGCATATTTGTTACTGTTTTATAGCTTTATTTTTCAGACAAATGTAGCATCTTTTCCTGTTGCCTCAAGTGTCATTTCTTCACTTTTTCATTGTTGGACCTAATGCGAGGCGGGCTTGGCAGGTCCGTTTTGCCCTAGAATGTGCCGATTATGTTTAAGTGTAAATCTTGGGCAATAAAATTAATATTTTTACAACCCTCGGTAGAATAATTTATCGTGATATATTCTCAGAAATCGTGAAACGAGATTAAAATAATATGAGTTTCAACAAAAATCTGAAAATTTGAAGTTGCACTCTGGTGATTCCGGCCTGCCAGGCAGCCTTTGATCATCTAATGCCCATTTGCACCAACGTTAGCAGTAAGCATTGCTTAGCTAAGCAATTCTTAAAAGTAACTACTTTTTAAATTGTACAGTTGTTGCACCGTCACCGCTTAGACTCTACTTAACCAAGTAATACTTAGTTGGGGAATTGTGTAAAAGTTTCATTTCTATTGGCGACACCGACGCTTGTTCGTATACAAACATCAAATATTTTAGGTTAGTTTGTACGTGTGTAGTTGGAATCAGGTTGGAATAGTGCTGATATTTATTTTCGCTAACGTTGGTTAGGTGTTTAATAAAAACAGGGCTTAGAATATAGTCAAATACCAGGTCAATATTGTTTAAAACCGGGGGACGGGAAATGAATTTAGAAGAAGTTTTATAACAATTTTTTTTGGGAAATTCATATTAACAAATCTATGCTACATTACTTTTTAATTTGATATTTTATTACATCTCCATGTTATTACGTTTAAATTTATTTTGCTGCTTCTTTTTTATTTCAATGTCTAACTCTAAAAATTCGCTTTCGCACCAGTAATTCCATATTTTTTCTCTCTTCGTATTCTTGTTCAGTTGTGTCTCAAATAACTGTAGTTTCTCGCTTCCCTCTGGCGCTTTTTATTGTTCATATGAAAAATACTTATTTATGCAACTAGTGAATAAAGTGTATCTTTTTTTCACGAGATGGAAAATTTGCCGCACGAATGTCTTCCGTTAAAAAATGACACGCTACGACACTTTTTCATTTAAATGCGTGAAAAAATGAAATGCTATGACACTTTTTTCACGCTTCTAGTGCCATGAAATAAACGTATCCTTTATAAACAAAAATTAATAAAAAATGTTACACTTTTTACGAACGTGAAAAAAAACATGTTATTCTTTACAACAAAACATTGTAACTGTGGTACATATCTTCTTTATATTAATTTTTAAATTGTTAAGGTGATGTTATCGGTTTAGTTTTCAGTGAATTTACAGTAGATTTTGTTTCACAAATACTAGACAACTACTTGGAATCTGAACCCAATTTTTTTTTTACAATATCTTTGATATGCTATTAGTGTCCGGAACTTATAAAATTAGAGAAAAAATGACCTGTTTTGCTCTAATAAAATCCCAAATATGCTCAAAATCACACTAATATTAGGTCCGACTGTGCCGACCATAGTTATAAAATCCACATTAAAGTAAGTCATGGACATTCTTTGAAGTGTTTACTATGATATTTCAAAAAGAAAAAAAAAAGCTCTATTTATAAAACTTCATAATTTTGTTTTAAAACTGATCATGTTTGAAGCTTTATTTTATTCGTTCCATTTGCTGTCTCTTACTGCGGTCTCTCTCGGATCGGGATATAACACCCACCGAACGTTCTTGGACCGATGGGATAATTTATTACTTCCGACATCTTTTCGGTTACAAATTTAATCTTTGCATAAATTTACTTCAGTGTAGTTAGTGAACTCGTTGTGACCATTGAAATATATAAAGAGTAAATTTTGAAATGGGACGAAAGTCGAAGATTCCAATTTCAAAGCCACGAAAAAGTCGAAAAAACTTTTATCAGAATTATTATGTCAAAAACCTACTAAAACTACAGACAAAAAATGCAGTTTAATCATTTGATTAGTTTTACTATTATTACGCTTTTATTTCCTAATTTCTCTACATATAAATATTATTGTTTTTTAGACCCGCCGCTGTTTACTTATATAAAGTGTAAGTCAATGTTACTAATAGAAATTTTATTATTGTTACTTTATATAATCACCAATCCTATTGCTTCTCGGCTTTTTGTCAAAGATCAAAGTGTATTACCTGAAAGAATTTTATTTTGTTAAGTAAAATATTACCATAAACCTTATAATTAGCCGGATAACCATTCAGTATACACAGGTAGTTTCTATACCTCTTTAGTTTGAACTTAGCCGATATTAACCAGATAGGGAACCAGTTATAATTAAAATATGTACTTTATTTTACACTTCAGATACACTTTTGAGCACTAATAATAATGATGGAATCGTCGCAAAATTGGAAATTTTCGATTTCGTGTAATCACCAAAATTATTATCCAATAGAAATAAAGTGTTGTTCTGTTACCATGCGTACCGCACATGCGTTGTATTGTTGTGTCTCGTTAAGCATTGCTTACAAATTTAAGCCTCAGGTAAACGGGCGCTTAAATTAAATAGTTCATAGAACCGTTTAAGAAAGACTTAAACGTTGGTGCAACACATTGTTGGTTTTAAGAAATGCTTAGATTTTAAGTATCTGACTTAAACGTTGGTGCAAATGGGCATAAGGGGTTTAAAAATACCTTTCTAAGAAATTGTACTTATTTTGCCTTATTAAACGGAACCAGCAATTATTCCTAAAATGTATCTACCTGCCGCACCGGGATAGACGATTACCGGACATGGTCATAAAAACATCATAAGCCGATATTGAAGAATAATAATTTATGACAGGTTGCCGACAACAGACCTTCAGCACCGAATAATCATTTCCCGTATTCTTTCGAAATATTAATTTTAATGCTGGAGATAATTATTAGATATACTCGAAACACAATTTGTATACTGTAGTATGGAAATAAAAACAAAAAAAAATCTTTTTAAGCGTACATAATAAATATTGCACAATTTGCGACACATCAAAGAGCGAAGCGATGGCCTATTTGCAAGAAAAAAGAAAAGATTTTTCAGTCTTGAATAACCATGCTACAGTAAAATGTTTATTTTTTTAAATTTAATACCACAATTCCTTCTTCTGCACCTGTGGAACGGGTGTTTAATAGCGGAAACCAAATTCGGACATCAAGAAGAAATAATTTAGGTAACAATACGTTCGAGATGTTGTTAATTTTAAAAAATTCATTAAACAATACTTAAAAAAATACATGTTTTCAGTTATTTTATTTGCCAACGCTTTACAAAGTATCTTGTATCTGTATCTAGGTACTTTTATCTGCCATATATCTGTATCTGTATCTAGATACTTTTAAAAGTATCTGTCCCCAACACTGTGCATAAAAGTAAGTGATATCCTCGTTGTTTGCTGTCAATGGTTTACTGTATACATACTTTACAAAGTTAGAAAAAATCATTACATTGGAACATTTTTAAACTTTTAACGACAGATATTTATGTTAAATGAACAGACAAATCACTTCAAAAGCATGCAATAAAAAATTCATATAAAATAAGTTTTGGACGGAGCAATCGGAAAATATTGTTCAGAAACGATTTTTTATACCCTAGAGTTTATTTGGAATTTCATTACTTAAGCTGCTCTAATTTGTGTTCCTGCACTCAGAATACAATGAACTTTTCACACAGTTGTAAGATTAGGTGTTATTCTGATGAAAATTCTTATTTAATTAAAAACTTATTGATATAAAATTTAAGAAAAAAAAACCCTTGGAAAGAAAAAAATCTCCTTCGTCATAATATTATAGTTTTAAGACAAAACTATTTATAATAATTTATTTATTTACGATTATACAGATGTAGCTAATTTGCCAAATAAAAAGACTATCTGAATACTCATTCACTTCTTGTTGTCTCTGATCATGCATCTAATTATATTATTTTGCAAACATTTTAAAGTTTTACAAAAATAGAAAGGGTTCATTCTGTAGTTACCGAAACTATAAATCTTTCAGAGTTCTCATCATTTTCACCTACACATGGTCTATTCGTAATCACAAGTGAGTTGTTTAATCAAAGAAAGCAGAAAATTTAATTTAAATTAGTACTGATCATGTCGTGAAAAATTAAAAACGCTAAAGTATTTATTAAAAAAAAACTTACCACGTAGTCGTTGTTACTTCCTTCGTTACTGTAAGTTGCACTTTTCTCATTAACGGAGGATAATGTTACACCTGTGACGGTATCGTTGTGGCTATTTGGAGCACACAATTCGATGGTAGCCGATGTACAAGTTTGATTACTTTGTTCTGAAAAAAATATGAAACAAGTAAGTATATAAACTACTGCGATCAATAAAATACGCGAGTAAAAAAAATATCAAATGTGAAAACAAACCTCGGATTCTTTTAGCTCTTCGTTTAAGCATGCAACCGGCAACTAATTCGATGTTGGTAATTAAAAATAAAATACCAATAACAGAAACACTAATAATAACAATTCTCGGTAAATCCTGTTTAAAAGAAAATAAAACGTATTAATCACCTGAAATACGTTTCTTGGATCTTCTGTATAAGAAACAACCAATTAGCAAGACGTTCATTAGTATTAGTAAGGTGCCCACAATAGTGCCCACTGTTATAAGGAAATCGGTGAAATTTTTTAAGTTTTCCTCATCTAAGCTGGGTGACGAATTAGACGGAGGAACTTTGTCTACAGTTAGTTCGTTAATAAAGAATTGCATGGAAAAAAAGATAATTGAACATACATTGGACAGCAATGTTAATCTGAGTGACCGAACTGCCCTGTGAATTTATCGCTTCGCAGGTGTACGTGCCAGCGTCATGTCTGCTTAACCTTGTTATATTTAAAACAGGACCGTCGGAGATGATTCGTTCCACACCAGAACCAGTTGACGATTGTATAATCGGTAGGCCGTCTTTGGTCCAGGTGTATGCGATGTTTTGCGGACTGCCATCCGCTTTCAGCGAGACGATCAGTGGTTCGCCTTCTACTCCTGTGACCGCTTCTTCGTTATCTTTATCGAAAACGGGTTTATCTAAAAGTGTAGGATTAAGGATTAAGAGATGTCATATTAGCGCCAAGGGTTTATCCTCACATAAAACTTGGAGAGTGATGGTGTCGAGAGCGGAACGTCGTAAGGCTTCATTAGTAGCTTGACACGTGTAAACAATTCCGTTAAGTTGTTCGGTGATATTGAGTTTTAGTTCGATTGTGGACACGGTGCCTCCATGAAGACCTGCTTTCGTCGTGTTGTACAAACCTTGTACGAGGATGCCGTCCCTCCACCATAATATTTTAGCTGGGGGATTACTTGAACCCGAGTCGCACGTTAACGTTGCTTGCTCGTTTGGTTTTAATTCTACAGGATCTTTCCGAATTGTCACATAGTCGGGAGGAACTACAAAGACACGTTTAGACGAAACTAGAAAATAATCTACCATGATGAATCGCTTACAATACACGTTCATAGTGATGTCTTCAAATAATGGAATATCGATTGCTGAATTCGCCGCTTCACATCTGTATCTGGCTTTATTGTCAGTAACATTTGTTACGATCGTTATTTCTGCCGTTACCGATTTGTCAGTCGTTTTTATAATTGAATTGATCTTCTTGTCGTTTTTATACCACGTCAGAGTGGCCAGAGGGTTTCCTCCAGATGATGTACACGAGATATTTTGCACAATTCCCGACGGTACATGCGACCCCTCCGTATATGTATATCCATGAATAGAAGGCGGAGTTGGTGGATCTATAAGAGAATACATTATAAGACGTCCAAGACGACGAAGAAGACTTACATAAAACGTTGATAGTATGCGTAGAGACTACATTTTCTCTTAACTGCATGTTCAATCCGTGACAAGTTACAACTAAACTTGTCCTGTTAGGCTCAACAACGGCTGTGATGTAGGACGTTGTAATCCAGCCTCCTTCTGGAGAAGCAACAGTTCTGGAGGTGGCATTTCTAATCTGTCTGCCGGCCACCATCCACTTCATTTCTGCAGGTGGATTCGAGTTTGCGGTTGTGCAAGTCAAGGTAACTAGATCGCCAACTTTGGCCTCGGTTTTACCTGATATGGTGACACGTGCTGGAGAAACTAAAAAAAAAAAACGAAATAGTACTGGAACGTTACGACAATAATCGGAGTTAATTACATAAAACGGTCATGTCGACTTCTGCTCTCAATGGAGATTTGGACATGATGTTGCTAGATTCGCACTTGTATCTTGCCTTGTTGTCGCTGGCGTCCGCTGTGAAGGTGTAAACGTTTTTTGAAACTCTTGCGGCCGTTTTGTACGCCATTCGGATTTGTTTGTCGTTCTTGTACCAGATTAATTGGGCTGGAGGGTTGCCTCCTCTACTACGACACGCCAACTCCACGGTTTGGCCTCGTCGGATAGTCTTCGCTTCCGTATACCCCTCAATATATGGCAAACCAGGCGGATCTGAGCACATTCGGAGTCAGAGTCTGTTAAACGATAAAGAGTGAAGTTACTCACGAAATACGCTAAGCTGCACTGTTGTTCTCATAGGTATGTCGGAAGATAATGCTTCGTGCCTCGCTTCGCACGTGTATTCGGCTTGATCATCTTCAGCTGTTGGCTTCAACGATATGCGAGAATGCGTGTCGTATCTGGTAACCCTTTTGTGCCAGTTTTTCCACGTAACTTCAATGATTTGATCATCGCGATTGGCTGCAGTGAAAAAGTTTGTCATTCTAAGTTGAGCAAATATTTAAAGTGCTTACGTATGTTTAATTCAACGTTTCCTCTATACCAGACAATTTTTGCTGCTGGTTTTGCATTTCGCACTCTGCATTCGAGATGGAACTCTTCATTTTCTTTTATTTCAACCGTTGAATTATGCCGGTGGTCTAAAATTTCAACGGATGAGGGCGGCGCTGAAAAGAGTGAAATGTAAATTTTTTATAGAAAGAAATCTGATAAAATAAATTGTTGACATTGCGATAAATTCAACCGTCCTCCTTTACAAATCCGACATCATTTTTATTAAGACTACTCCATATTATTAATATTATTATTATTAATGATGTTATTGTAGATAGGTTGGCTAACAGATCTAAGTTCAGTTATAAGCCAACACAAGAAGAAGCATCTTAATCGTTCCAAATAGCTAGAAGGATACTACTGGTTCCTTATTAGAAATTAATTAAGATGCTGTTTGTTGTTAAGAAGTATTCGAGGTAGTGATTGCGTGTGCTCATATAGAAGATGTTAAAATCTGTGGTTGAATAAATGTTGATGATTTGGTGCCATGGTGACATTATCAGAATATTTGTTTTCGGTGTATCACAATGCCAAAGACAGTGTTTTCGGGAATTGAAACTAGGTATCCGAAAATAGAAATTTGTTAGCAGTTTAGGACAATGAATACAATAGTTTAATAATAATTGATACAGAAATTTAAGGAAAAAATATCTGCGCGTACTATCCAGAGTTGGAAGTTGAACGCTTTCTAAGATAATATTTTGAGGAAACCCTCGAGGAGCATATTCGCTTTTAACTATAAATAAAAGGTATTGCTGAAATGTCTTTGATTTTTTTCAAGTGCATCTATATGGATTTTGTAAATAGGAGACCATACAACACTAGCGTATTCAAATTTAGTTCTTACCAGTGTTTTATGTAAGACAAGAAGCATACTGGGATTATTAAAATATTTAAAGTTGCGTAAAACAAAGCCTATCGTTTTATACGTTATTGAAGTAATTGCTTCAATGTGACATTTAAGGGAAAGTTGAGTGTCAAAGATAACACCAAGGTCTTTGAATGTATTGGATCTTTTCATGACTTGATTATGAATTGCGTAATTGTACCTAATATTATTAATGACTTTTTTATTAAATGATACTACACAACATTTATCTTTATCAAGAATAATGTTATTTTCAGAACTTCTGTTGTAAATTTTGGCGACATCCTGTCGTAAAAGAAGGCAATCATTCGTGGGACAATTTAAGGTCATCAGCATAAAGCAAATAGTGCACCTTGAGGGAGTCTACAATGTCATTTATATAAATAATGAAGAACAATGGCCCTAATACAGATCCCTGGGGAACACCAGACTGCTGGATGAATTTAAAAGATTTAAAACCCCGATACTGCACAAACTGAAATCGATTATTGAGATATGAAGCAATAAATTTTACGTAATCACAAGAGAAACCAATAGCATCAAGTTTATTTAACAGTAACTGATGATCGACTCGATGAAATGCCTTCGTCCAGGATGAGCCCGTCGTGAATGAAGTTGCTGTCCAGGAGGGAACGACCGTGCCGGGCGTTTAATTCTTTTGTTTATTTAATTTGATTTGTGTTTATTTAAAATAAGTTTAGCCGTAAGATTATTATCTTAGCCGTGTAGCTGGTGTCACGGAATAGACCCGATTTATTTTTTAAAATATTTCCAGGCGTTTTATTTTATTATCTTGCTTTCGCGGGCGCTCACCACCTAAAATTCGTGTCTCCGGCTTGAGAGCAACCCCAGCGGTCCCTCCCCCGGAGAGCGACCGCCGCTCCTGACCGAAAGCGCCACTAGTCGCCCCAAGGCTTGGCACCCAGGTACGCCGCCACCAGACGTTATCGGCGAGATTCCGGACCGTCACTGTCCGTCACACCGAAATTTCGTCGCAATTTGTCTAAGGCGTAAGATGCAGCACAGTATTTTATTATAGAAACTCTATATCTTTGATCTATATCATGAATCCTTGAAATTGATGCAGTCTTATTTGCATAATAGAGTTTGTTATGTATACTTTAATGGATTAGCATCAAGAGAATTTATAGCTAGATCAGGTGTACCTCAGGTTCCCACCTAGGTCCTTTTTATATTTTATATTTATTTATAAATGAAAGTATAAAACGCCTCTTGACTAATAAATTCAGGTTGTGGGAGCGGTCGCAAATGACTCTACAGAAACATAGATATTTCCAGGACATTCCTGACATTAACTTTGAAGCTGCGTGAAACATCTGACTATAAGATTTTCGCTCCACACGAGAATATATCTCCCTGATTTTAGGACTTTATGTTTTATTTTTTAGTAAATTAAAAACAGGACTGCGTTCGAACGTATGAAACAACCTTAATCAAACGTTCAGGTACTTACAGATGACGTTGAGCCTAACTCTTGCCCGAATTGCCTTATGAGACCTTGCCGGTCCCACTTGACACTCATATTTGGCGTCGTCCTCTAGGGAAACATTGCTCACCCTCAAGTTAAATATTCCGTGACGACGGTCAACGATCACAGAGTGTCGAGGCAAACTTGGAATAACCGACCAGAACCCTGTGGACAAAAAAAAAACATGATTTAATTAACGCTGTAGGATTCGCCCTTAATTAGTGTAAGCGGAATTTTTAGTGGAGGTCTTAAAGGCAACAAAACCAATCAGTTTTAACTATTAACCCCAACTTAAGACACGTATCTCAGACGCCGAAGTTGCATTTTGAGGGCAGTTAGTCAGAGTCCGTGAGAGTCAGTGAAGTATAGTCTATTTCAGAACTCCGTTCGTCTAAGCCATAAACCGGGGTGTAAATCAACAATTAGCACCCAGTTAGTAGGCTTTTACCGGACTTCTTTTGTTAAAGAACAAGCTGTCCCCTTCTTTTAGCCAGTAAGAGTTGAATTTAACGGTGCCCTTGTCTTTCAGTATAGAACAAATGAGTTGAATTAAGAAAACCACAGTGCACTTTCAGCATGGTTGTATGATATAGCGATTTACTCAATGCTTAAAGCAGTGACGTTAAAAATGTCGAAACACTATTTATACAGCCTGTTACAGAAAAAAGTAAATTAATAAAATCTCCAGCAGATACCATGGTATGTAAAGTAGCCCAAGAGCTATAAGGTTATATGACCATCATTATGAACACGAAGATTTTCGTTCTCGGATGATCGTGGTGCTCCTACTAAGTTTTAAAATAAAAGTGGTTATTTAAATAATAATTACTAAAGTATTGTGCCTAGTTTCAGTTTGAAGTTGGGTGAAATTGATGTTTTACATTAGTACATTTTTTTCTCTTGGTTTTTCCCTATCATAAGTAACACTTTTTACAAGTGAGTAATTGTACGTGATAACCTAGAATAATTAATTATCCTCTGTTCTCTGGTGCTTTAATCCATGGGCCACCTGTTTATTTCTTGGTCAGTCACTTTGAAAGGCCCGTGAGTGCGAATTAAAGTGTCCCTGAGTCTTATTTCCTTATATAGTTAACCCTAAAAGCGTTACATATGAATAATTGTTGCAATTGTGGCAACGCTTGTAAACCAATCGTATTTACAATAAATTGTGATGAATGTCAGGGTGTGATGCGTGTGTGGGTTTATCGGAGAATAATGTGATATTAACAAGGGCTAAATCAAAATTTGTCAATGTGGTATGCAACACATGTAACAGTAACATGTTTAATTTTAAAGATCTAAAAGAGCTAATAACATCAATAAAACATGATTTTATGACTTCTCTGAATGAATTAAAGGAGGATTTTGAAAATCTAACTAACACCTGCACCCTCTTACGAGTCAATACATTGTTGTGTTGGTATCAAAATGTCCGTGGATTGCGCACAAAAGTTACACGTTTGTACAATTCCATATGTTCTTGTTCTGAATTTGATTTACTTGCCTTCTCGGAGACGTGGCTCTCAAGTGAAATAAATAATAATGAATTGTTTCCTAAAGATTTTGTAATGTTTTTCGTAAGGACAGGGATTTCGAGCATTTAAATGTTTCTAAGGGTGGTGGTGTACTTATGAGCATTAGGGATAAATTGGAAGCTACTGCGTTAGATCTTTCTTCTATTGATAATCTGGTACCAGTTATAGATATTGTTGGAACCAGAATCGCTGGTTATTATGAACCATTAATAATTTTGTGTATCTATATTTCGCCAAGGACAAGTTTTCAAGACTTTGAATTATTTTTTGATGGTCTAAGTACACTAGATGTACTTTGTAATAGTAAAATTATATTGCTGGGTGATTTCAATGTCCCTGAGTTTACTTTGGGTGCTATAAACAACGTCACTACAACATTGAGTAACTTTAAAGAGTTTTTTAATTTTCGTCAATATAATAATGTAAAAAAATTGGTATAAAGAGTTTAGACACTACTTCCCTCGCTGTCGGAAACTTGACGACTGCATGCCTATTGTGTTTTTTTTCTCATTACATTTTTGTAGTGGGAATTTAAAAAAAAATTGCGATGACGTCATCAACATTTTTGCAAGGACACGTATATCAGTTGGGATAGATGTAGTGTAATACTAAGAATAAAATTATTATATTCTCAAATTTTCGGGAAAATGAATTGGGTCGTTTTGAATATTGATTTGTAATAATCAATAAAATAACGAAACAATTTACTCACGTATACGTATCAGAGGCAACTGAAAATCGTGTATGTATAAACATTCTTAATTTAAGATGACAGGCGTAACAGCATACGTGACAGTCAAACAGAGAAACTGTAAACAAAACGACCATCGGTTTTATTGCTTCGACTTCCGCTTATTATATAAAACATTGGGTTTTATTTTAATTCTTGACGGTGAAATTCACAATTGGTTGATTATAAACATGTCTATTTCACATTCGCGGAACCAAGTGAGCGCATAAAACAAAAGCAGGTCTGTAATGTTAAAGTCGATGTAAATAAGCGTGCTACCCTTATGTTTCAACCGAGTTTTTCCTTTAACAAATTTTGTGTCTACCAAATTGGGTTGCTTGGGGTGTAATACTAATAATAAGTGTTGCCTTTAATTTAATCAATAAAATAAATTGACTTCATTAATTTTTTTGAACCACCTCTTAAGAAAATCTAAAAAATATGAATGGAATGATAAATCAGAAGTACAAACTCATCATATTTTTTGCATTTTAGATAGGATTTATTCAGCAAAATTTAAGGGTGACGTCATCAATTTTTTTAGGAGGGATGAACAAATACATTTTGAACAAAAGTTTACCATGCTTATAATAACTTTAAAATATTCCCAAGATTTCAAAGCATTCGGTTTTGTAATTCCTGATTAAATCGATAAAATAAAATAAATTCACGCCTTCATTAATTTTTTTGACTCATCCTGCATATGCAAATCCAAAAATATGAATGGAATGATAAATCACAAGTACAGACTCATCATACTTATTTTGTACATTTTAGATACGATTTATTCGGCAAACTTTTGAGCTGACGTCATCAGTTTTTTGTAGAAGATAACCAAATATATTTTGACTAAAAATTTATTATGCTCTTTATAACCTTAAAACATCTGCAAGATTTCAAAGCATTCGGTTTTGTAGTTCCTGATTAAATCAATAAAATAAATTTACGCATTCATTAATTTTTTTGAGTCACCTTGTATATGCAAATCGAAAAAATTTGAATGGAATGATAAATCACAAGAAGAGACTCACCATATTTTGTACATTTTAGATAGGATTTATTCAGCAAAATTTTGTGGTGACGTCATAAATTTTTTAGGGGGGACGACCAAATACGTTTTGATCAAAAATTTACCATGCTTATGATAATTTTAAAATATCTTCAAGATTTCGAAGCATTCGGTTTTGTAGTTCCTGAGTAAATCAGTAAAATAAATTTACGCTTTCATTTATTTTCTTGAATCACCCTGTATATGCAAATCCAAAAAATATGAATGGAGTGATAGATCACAAGTACAGACTGATCATATTTTGTACATTTTAGATATGATTTATTTGGCAAATTTTCGAGCTGACGTCATCAAGTTTTTGGAGGGGATAAGCAAATATATTTTGACTAAACATTTATTATGCTCTTTATAACCTTAAAACATGTGCAAGATTTCAGAGCATTCCGTTTTGTAGTTCCTGATTAAATCAATAAAATATATTTACGCATTCATTAATTTTTTTGAGTCACTCTGTATATGCAAATCCAAAAAATATGAATGGAGTGATAAATGACAAGTACAGGCTCATCATATTTTGTACATTTTAGATATGATTTATTCGGCAAACTTTCGAGCTGACGTCATCAAGTTTTTGGAGGGGATAAGCAAATATATTTTGACTAAACATTTATTATGCTCTTTATGACCTTAAAACATCTGCAAGATTTCAGAGCATTCGGTTTTGTAGTTCCTGATTAAATCAATAAAATATATTTACGCATTCATTAATTTTTTTGAGTCACCCTGTATATGCAAATCCAAAAAATATGAATGGAGTGATAGATCACAAGTACAGACTCATCATATTTTGTACATTTTAGATATGATTTATTCCACAAACTTTTGAGCTGACGTCATCAAGTTTTTGGAGGGGGTAAGCAAATATTTTTTGACTAAAGATTTATGATGCTCTTTATAGCCTTAAAACATCTGCAACATTTCAAAGCATTCTGGTTAGCAGATTAAAAATTAAATTTCAAAATGTTGTTTTTTAATTTTGATTTTTTTTCCAAAAATTTGGACGTTTCGGGTGAAAAGTCGATTCGGAGTTGTAAACTACATGTGTAGGACTATGTTATTTTATACAATTGAAAACCCATTTACTATGTACAATTTTGAAGTGACGTCATCGCATTAGTGGTGGGGATGATTAGACAAATTTTGGTTAGCGTTTTACCATCTACATGATATTCTTAATATAAGTACAAAATTTCACAACAATCGGTCGAGTACTTTCGGAGATTATCTGTCTAATAAAAATCCGGGGGCAGACGGACAGACGGACAGACGGACGGACGGACAGACGGACGGACAGACGGACAGACAGACGGAAATGGGAGACCTATTTCTTCGTCTTCTAGGGGTCATGAAAGATCGAGAAAACGTAAAAGTAGAGTCGGCCGACGGACTCGATTACAATACTTGCTTTGCTTACGCTCGGGAAGTAAAAATCCTTAAGGTGCTTCGGTCTTAGTTTATGAAAGAAAGTTTACTCTGGTTTTTGCCTTCGATACTTCATTTGTTTATGAGTTGCAAAAATCGCTTTTCTTGGAAAGTCGGTACGTGTTTAAAACTTAAAAACATTCAGTGATTTTTTTGCGTATGTAACGAATTTTTGTTATGTAAAATTCGTGACATTTTGCATCTGCTTGTGAAGGAATCATTTATCTTCCATAAAATAAAAATTCCTACCTAAGGCGAATCCCTCCTTCGCCCATTGCACCTGACCCGCCAAATTGGCCACCTCGCATTCCAGCAGCGCCTCACCACCTTCTTGCACTTTAAGATCCCTAGGTTGCACTCGAAAATATTGTTGTTGACCATAGACCAAACTTAAACCGACGGTTATTAAGCACACTGCAAAAAAGGAACATTGTCAAAAAAGGGTAACTGCAACGAGGGTTGCCTTAAAATTTAAATTTATGGGATATGTACCAAACCTTTTCTCTACGCAGGTATTGGTCATTATTTTTTATGTTGGTTTGTTTTAAGGGGGAACGCTAGATGACAGACAAGTTTGAATTGGGCGCCATTTGTTGTCGTAAACGCAACCAGCAATCCTTCTTTAAATCTACCTGACGCGCTGAGATACACGATTACCGGACATGGGCCATAAAAACATCGTGAAGAATAATGATAATTTATGGTAGGCTTGAAAATTCTCACATTGACAAAGCATCCCTTTTTACAGGCCGCAGAGTCATTAAATGTTTGTTAATGGTACAATTTATTTAAATAATAATGTATTTATTAAAATCAAAATATACTACAAATTATTGAAAAATATATACGTCGAATAATTTTAACAGGAATATCAGAGGAAAATTAATGATATATTGCTTAGCAGAGTTTTTAACAAAAACTAACAATTATTGAAAAAAATGGGTATTAATTCGACACAACTTGAGCCGTTAGTTCAAGACTGCCAATAGGAGCGCCAAAAAACATTTACGGAAGGAAGCGACTTTCGGGCAAAACCCTTATAAGCTGATTGTTAGCGTTCTCGGCTGATTTTTTTTAATTTATGGCAAGGAACTCGGTTTTATAATAAACCGCTAGTACCAAGTTTTGTAATAAACCCGAATTAGAACTGGGTAACTATAATATTTTTACTCCACTCAGGATCCAGAATTCGATACACATGATTACTAAAAATTCATTGTAATATTGTTAATATACAGGGTTATTCAGCTAAGATGACCTATTTGTGTTTTTAAAATAGGCAACCCATAATACCGATTGCACTTGAGCCTGGATTACAAAAAATGTTTCAAAACTGGATTGTATCAAAGTTTACTTATATAAGTGTATAGAAACGTCAGCGTCAGGAAAATGCCTATGCATTCTTACGATAATAACGAGAAAACCGAATCTAAGAGATTTTTGTGGGCAAATTGTGTTTTTTTATTGCCTGGTAGGTGAACGAAGCACATTCAATAAATTTAAGACTGTCATGCAACTGTAATACTTTGGCTTCATCACTGAACAAAACACACTGAATAAAATTGGGATTAATTTGCATTTGGTTTCTTATAAGGTTGTATACAATTGTGCTGTACGGCTAGCCTTTTTGTGTCATTCTCCATAACGTGTCCATAAATAAGGATCATGTCGGTTTTCTCGTTATTGAATGCATAGGCGTTTTTCTGACACTGACCAACGTCAACACTGACGTTTCTGTATATTTAGCAAACTTTGATACAATTTAATTTTGAAACATTTTTTGTAATCCAGATTCAGGTGGATTCGGTATTTTGGGTTGCCTATTTTAAAAACATAAATGGGTCATCTTAGCTGAATAACCCTGTATATTTTGCTTTGTTAATTAATAAAACTAATAACAATATTTATAATAATAATAAAAAATATATAAAATACAACTTTTGTTTAATACGTCCACGTCCAGTAACTTCTCCCTGCATTGTTTACTCGAAAAATAGTTTTACAAAAAGTACTCGTATATGTTTTCATTTGCCGAGAGATCATTTTCGAACTATATTTATAATACAAATATGCAAGACTTGGTGATGAAAATTGTACTCCTCGTACCTAAAAATTTAGAAATAAATTTTATTTATTTAAAAAAAATCTCTCGCAAAGGCAGGTTCCTCTTTCTTCTTGAATCAATTATTTCGCGCAATAATGCCCCAAAGTAAAATGTGCCAAGTTTATTTACCATCTTTTTACACGTTTCTTCATCTTTGTAATTTTTTCTATATTTATTCCTTTGGGTGTCCACACAACAAAATAAACTTGTGAAAGACCCGTAAGAAGCATTTGTCCCTAGACTTGAAAGTAGTAATCATGATTTTCTTTTTATTTTCAAATCTCTATCTGTCATTGTACACAGTTTTATCTGTTGCTGTAGTCGGTCTAAATTTGTAAATACGTCAAACATTTGAAACCGTAACCCTAATTCCTCTTTCTTTTGCCCAAGTGTTAGAGAGTTGCCTAGTGTTCATTTCAATTTGGTCTAAATTCAAAGATACTTTTCTCAAAAAAATCTCTTTGGCTGTAACAAATGTTTCTACTTCCACGTCAGGATTATCTAAAATATTTAAACCATAATCGCAGTGGGGACCAGCATACGTCCGTTTTTTACGACATATTTTTTGTTGATAACATTGTGTAATAAACTCCACGCTGTATCTGCCACCCTTCGAAACAAAATTTCAACAAAAAATCCATTATCCATCAACAGTGGGACAAGATTTTGTTGTCTAGCCCCCACTTTTTTTACAGATTCTTCAGTACAAAAAGAAGTTAATTTGGATACGTAATTGCGAATATAATTTTTACGTTAAATTTTTTGAAGATGAAATTGTAAATTTTAGTCCCATTTGACCTTTTGGCAATAAATTCTTTTTCCGTTAAACGAGCCATTATTATGCGACTTTATTAAACCAACAAAAATTGACAAAAGCGATTCTCTTTGACTGATTTTTGTTTCAATTTTTTTATAGTAGATACAAAAAAATAGACACTTCTTGAAACTGGCCAATAAAACAACTGATAACAAGTTTTTATTTATTTTTTAATGAATCTTTTAAAATAAATATATTTCAAATATGTTTCGCCTAAATTATTTTTTCTTTGTGTAAGAATTTAGCTTTCGCTGCTAAACATCCCCTCCACAACGTTTTATTGTAAAATTCAGTGAATATGGTTTATGGTATCAGATTTATTACCCTTCAGGATTATTTTTAAAGATGGATAACACTGAAAGTTACAATACAGAAAATGATGCTACAGTAGTATGAGTCACAGAACACTCCTAGTGAGCCTTTTATATGTATTTTTGTGTATGGAACCACCATCACCAACATGGCATGTATTTTTTATCTAGATACAGACATTTTGTGCCTAAATGTGTTTTTATCTATATACAAATAATAGATAACCACTGATCATAACACTGTTTATATTTTTTGACTTGTATAGTACGCTGTAGGATTTTTGCCAAACGTTTTTAAATCAGTCTGTATATTCATAATCAGCACAAATATAACTTACATCCATCTAAGTTTAAAATTATTCATCAAAATTCAAAACCAGTATTAATAATACATTTAGGCGAATAAATTAATAGCCTTGTGTCCAAATTGTGTTTGAATATAATAATTATCTCGAATACTAAAATTAATATTTCAAAAGAATACGGGAAATGATTATTCTGTGCTAAATTATGTTATGGGCAGCCTGTCATAAATTATCATGATTCATCATTATCGACTTACGATGTTCTTGTGACCCATGTGCCGTAAGCGTCTATCTCAGCGCGTCAGGTAGATTTAAAGAAGAATTGCTGGTTGCGTTTAAGGCAACAAATGGCGCCGAATTCAAACTTGTTTGTCGTCTAGCGTTCCCCCTTACAACAATGTAAGTTTCATTTCTTATATTGAAGTTCTGTGGTCACTTCGAGTCGTTTACCTCGTCCCCAGGAGCTAAATCAAGTATAAATTAATAACGGCAGAATTATTTTAAACCTCCGCCATCCCCAAGACAATTAATTATTTCCTTTGAAATTTATTTTCGCGCATAAAAAGCCACAGTGCCACAGTTTAATTACAAAATAAAAATCCTGCACTTACATATCTGTCGTACGTAATCCATAATAGCCACAAAAGAGTAATCCTACAAATGAACGTAATCACTAAATCACTGAATCTTTCACAGAACAAATGGAATTTTCGTAAGTGTTCCACCCTCACGCAGCGTTGAAGTCACTTTACACAAAAGTGCACAGAACTCGTGTGAAGAGTTATTACGCACTAATGAACCACATAGTTAAGAGAGTTAGTACAAATAATGTCGACCTTACATCCCGTTAAGTAACCGCGAAATAATCACTGAAATCATCAATGGACAGGTAGTACTTTCGCAACACAGCCCCAGTGCTTCACTATCGCTGAAACGATGAATAAAATTCGGCGTTAACGTGAAACTTTCAGCTTTTTCAGGCGGGCTTCATGAGGTCACGCAATCGCGAACTGTCATCGAGATTTCCTCGCGCCAATTAGAATGTAGAGGGTGGGGAGATCGATTTAAAGATCGGAATCGAATCTATTCCCTGCGAGTACGTCCGATATCGATATTTTAAAGGCTAAATCGATTTTTACTTAGAATTTCAATTATGTTATAAATACTTTGTTGATACAAGCGTCTTTTTAGACTGTCAGAAGTTATAGATAATAGAATAATAAAAATTAAAAAGTATGAACTAGCGAAGGAAAATTTATTAGTGCGCATGCACCTGTCAGTATATTTTCCTATTTCCGCAGAGACTTTAAATATATATTGTCGAGGAGTTGGGTTGTTATTAAATCCACCCCTAGCTCTAATAGAAGAAAAAAACAATTCGAGGTGGTCTTGGCTTAACTTATACGTCAGCAAATATTTCAGAGTGCCTTGCTCCACGACATATTCTTGAACTTGTGGTTTCGGGTTGCCGGAACGGTAAACGAATTAAGGGAGGTAAGAACAATTTTATTTTGCTTTTACCAAGTACAAGCGATTTGATACAGAGCTTCGCGGTCTGGTCACATTGCAGATGGGAATGGCGCATGCGTGATTTTAACGAAATGTCAAATTGAATTACATGAGAATTACAGCTTAAGATATACTTATTACAAAATATTTACAGCTCGAGATATATTACAGAAAATTTACGGCCTAAGATATGCTTGTTAATCATTTTGTAAAAAATCTACCTTGTCTCTGGGGCGTGGTTTGAATTTGGCGCCTGTATGGGTAAGTTGGTATTGTTGTTGGCACCCATGGTTGTCGTTGGTTGGAGAGCTGTCATCTTTCCGACATGGGTGACCTTTTACCTGTCAAAAGAGATATTAGAACGTTTTGTCTTCACTATTATTGCGAAAAATTTGTCGGAGGGTTTTGACCACTTCGAAGGGGCCCTCGTAGGACGGTTGTAGGACTTTTCGTACGGAGTCAACACGGACGAAAACGAATTTTGCCTGCTTCAGCTAATGGGGTGGGGGGCCTGTCTAATTTGTAGACCACAGTTTATCTTGCAGACTGGGGGTTAAAAATGCTGCAATCAAGCCAAAACTCCACATATGCTTATTTTTCAATACGAAGATTGTTAATACAAAATTTCAACTCGTTCGGAGAAACCCTCAAAAATCACCCCCAAAACAACCTTGCAGACTGGGGCTTAAAAATACTCCAATCAAGGCAAAATTTTATATTCGCTAGTCTCTCAATACCGGGATTATCGATACAAAATTTCAGCCTATTTGAAGAAACCCTCAAAAACTACCCCCAAAACAACCTTGCAGACTGGGTCTTAAAAATATTATTTCCAAATCGAAATTTAGTGTTTAGTTTTTACCTATACGAGAAGTGATAATGCAAAAAAACAGCCTTTTTTAAGCTGCTCGTAACAAGTACCCCAAAGCAATCTTTCATAATGGAGCTTAAAAATACTCCAATTGAGTCGAAAGTTACCACTTGCTAAGTTCTTTACACAAAAAATTATCATGTTAAATTTTAGTCGCCTTGAAGCAACTTATAAAAATGACTGATAGTTCACATTCATTTAAAGTACAAGTAGCAGAAAAATTTTAGACACATATAAAGAGACAGTACATATTTCTAAAGTAGGTGCACACCATAGAGGTAGAATGAGAGGAGGGAAGACAGTTTAAAAAAATGCCTGGTACCGCGCTTTCTACTAGAGTCATAAATGGTTCTTCCAGGTCCTCCTTGAAACTGGTTGTTCCAGTGGCGTGCCCGAATACTAGACATAAAAGAAAAATAATTTCATAAGAAAGCATATAAAAGCAGCAGCAGCAAATTTACTTGAGTGTTTAATCGGTTAAGATTCGTTGCTACGGTCGTCGTGTTATCTCCACCTTCGCACAAACCGATCTAATTCCTACAACAACTGCGGCATCACCTAATGATCTTAATATGCATTGTTAATTATGAAAAATATTGTTGTGTTATCTTTTATAACTTTATTTTAATGCATATACACTGAGCGGCAAAAAAACCGGCCACCCTGAAACATTTCGCAAAACCAAACTTTAAAAATTACTAATTTAACTAGTGATCGTTATTTCATTAAAGAACTATTCACTATTGACATATGATATATAAATTAGCAAAAAAAGAAGACAAATAAACACAGAATTAAATTTAATTTAACAAAATAACAGAAACAGAGCGACAATTTGAGAGACAGCAAAAGGGCTAAATGTTCAAAACATACAGCATCGCAGTTAGAGAGAATTCTCAGATGTTGCCGGCTATTGAGAATTCATCATTTTTTGAACAATCGTGTGCTTGTGCTGGGCGATGAAAAATATTTTACGTTTGCGTATTCAGAGATGGAAGGATGGATTTTGTACAAACAATATAGAAGAAATTACAAATAAAATTAAGTCGAAGGCAAAATTTGAAGATAAAATTTTGATTTGATGGGCTATATCTGCGGCTGGCGGTTCAGCACCATTCATTGGCAGTATTAGAAGTGACGCGGTCAATACATAACAATATATGGGAACACCATAATAACAACCGACGGTGTAATATTTTGGCCAGATTTAGCAAGATACCATTATACTACAATGTCCAGGGATTGGTTAGAAAGAAATAATATAAATTTTGTACCTAAGATAATCCCCCCATAGTGCCCCAGTGCGAACAATCGAAAACAAAATTTGGGCAATATTAAATAAAAAGGTTTACAACAACGGCTGGTAAGCCAATTTATTAGAAGAACAAATTACCAGAAAGTTAGAGAAATAGACGTGGACACCATCCAAAGGCTGTAAGACCTACATATGAAGACAATTTTGCGTCGTATTGAATATAACGGATCTTTATCTGTTTTCCTATTAATAATAATTAATTAAGAAATTAGCACTTTTCTGGGTTCTTTTTGAAATTCAAATAAAATTAAGTTTGAGCTTCCTATTTTTTACGTTAGGTTTCTCAGAAATTAAAAACGTCTCTAATTTTCTTTAAAATATCTTTAAGATTTTGTTTCCTATGAATTTTAAATTTTCTCTTCTGGACACCACTTTGTATTTTTTGACTGATAATGAAAGTTTAATTATACCTCAAAGAACTCAAAACCTGCATATAGTATGTACTAAATGAACTAAGTTAACAGCAAAAATGACGTGTAAAAACACACCCTAAAATGAGAGACTGAACGAAAAAGCAGCAACTGATTCTTATCTAACAGTGATAAACATGAACTCAAATTATCGCGATTCACGTATCTATAACAAATACTCCTATATTCGTAATTTACATATTTTTTAAACTTAAATATTAATAAATTAATTAATAATTAACAATAAAATAATAAAAAAATAAATTAAAAAAACTAAATTAAATTTAAATAATAAAATATTTTTTTTAAGTGATTCGTTAAGGACCCTGAGCTTTTTTAGGGCGATCGCCGGGTAGCCGGGCGAGCCAGTCCGACGCTGTTTTAATTCCTAGTCTGTTTCTTTTAAGGATTTCTCCAAATGTATTAAAATTTTGTATCAACAATCCACGTTTTGATAAATAAGCAAATGTCGAGTTTTGACTTAACTGGAGCATTTTTAACCCTCAGTCTGCAAGGTTGTTTTGGGGGTCATTTTTGAGGGTTTTTGCGAATGGGCTGAAATTTTGCATCAATAACCCTCGTATTGAAAAACTAGCGAGTGTCGAGTTTTAACTTGATTGAAGCATTTTTAACCCCCAGTATGCAAGATAAACTGTAGTCTGCAAATTAGAAACGCCTAAGTTCGAGTGCCTAGGCACAAAATAACATCTACAGGACGCCGGAAATAAAGAGCGAATTACAATAAAGACTGATAAGTAAAAACTGAAAATAAAAAAACTTTTGGAAGTGAAATGTGGACGGTAGGAACGATAAAACAAAATTTACTAAGCAGATGGAAAAGAAAAGCTTACCGAGGGAAAAAGGTAAATGGAAGACGGGAAAGAAAAACAGACATGAAATTATTTAAAGAACCGAGCATAGTTGTAGTAGTGGTAAGACAACGAATCAAATGGAGGATACTGACGTACAGAATGCTAAGAAAATTCAGAACTGTAAACTGACGGGAAGCAGAAGCCTGAGAGACATAAATACAAGTGGAATGAAGCACTGGAAGAGAAAAACAAGAAACAAAACGGAATAGAGAACAACAATACAACAAGCCAAGAGCCTTCTAGGCGTTTAGAGGTATAATGTACAGAATGAATAACGACTATAATAATGGTTGATGATTTACATACATGATTATCTATTGTATCATTATATATGTATTTATCACATAATTACGTTGACGAGTTTATTCATATGCTATAAATGTCAAGAAACTTTGAAGAAATAATCATTAGGGACGTGGTCTACCTTTTTATGGTATTGAACTGACTAAATGGTCGAGCAAACAAGGTCAAGAATTTCTGTTGAATAATTTGTAGGTACAGCTAAATAATATATTTTTTTGTAACCAGAATTCATAAATATCACAATTTAATCATGTAAAATAATTATTATAAATCTGTCCAGTTATTTTTGTGAAGTAAGAATAAAACACAAAAAATCAATGAAATAATTTATAGTTTGTTTTTTTTTTTTTTGTAACAAGTATTTAATTCGTGAAATTATTGCATTGAAAGGGGACACGTTCTGTCCTGAGTTTTCTTATTATATTTTTTTTTATAGTGACTCCATTTACCAGCTTCAAAACACGTAATGGTGTTGTCGTTTATCTTACGATCGTTACGATTAAAAGGCTCTTACATATTTATTTAGTCATCAAACTTTCCATGTTGTGCCTTCTTTTAATTTTGTTCTTGTCTGACCTATTAAATCAAATGAACGAAAAAACATATTACGGCTTTTATGTTTTATTTATTATACTTACAGAAAGAACTTATTTTTGACCTTTTAATCTTCCACTGCGTATCACAGTTATCGGTATTGGTGTGATGGTTCGTTGGTAGTGTCAAACTAAAAATTTACTTTCACAAATGCAAGATTAAGGTTTTGAAGTTCCCTGAATCCTTTCACATGGATTTTGAGTTGTCGTCTTACCCGAAAGGTATTGATTTCTTTTTGTGTACAAAGTGATTATAAAAGATTGTAAATACATCAAGTAGGTTTTACTTTTCCATTTTTGCTGCCTCGTTGTGCTACCTGTCAGAAACTTTTCAAACACAATTTGATGTACAATATTTTATAGTCAATCCAGCCTGTTCATGATTTACTACTATAATATAGTGAAAACAAAAAATGTGTTGTTTAAATGTTTATTCAAGTACACTTGCGAGCATTGAAATCGGGCCACTATTCACATCTGACTTTGAATCAAATTTTCCACCGAACTATATTACACTACATTATATATTAAAGAAACTAAAAAAAAACCATTAGAAAGACCAGATGTTTGTCTTTAAAACAGAGTTACGAAAAACTTCATGACATTGTTTTGCAATATTACTTTTTTTCTTTTCAATAACGAAATTTTTTATGTTAACAAAATAAAAAATTTAAAGAAGGAAATGATGTTAATATTCGGTGTTGCCACTCCTAGCTCTAATAACCGCTCGCATTCGTCTATTCATGGTCATTCATCAATTCTTCTTGCGGGATGAGCCCATTCTTCTTCAATGGCTATTCTGAGCTCTTGGAGTGTTCTATAGGATTCATATAGATATAGATATAGATTTTGAATAATTTTCATTCAAAATCAGATTTGAATAGTGGCCCGATTTTAATGCTCGCAAGTTTATATTAATAGGTATTTTAATTAGACAAATCGCATTTACTGTTTTGTTTTCGCTGTTTCTTTTATTATCTTTTTTTTTAATTAAATTATCAATGATTTTAGCCACAAATTCTCTAGTCGTCAAACAAAAATAAGTAGCAATTGTACTGTAATAATTTAAATGTACATATGTTTTAGTACTAGATAAATTTTGTTGTATTATACCTACATATAAATGATATATATTTTGGCCATTTAAATTCGTAACTTATATTGTTTGTCGATGATACCACCACTATAAGCTCTGACACCACGATATAACTGTCTTAAGCTACATTTGTCAAGATTTCCTTAAAACTTGGTTTTCACAATTGAGATTTGAATTTAAAACAAAATTCTGATAATGTCAAATTCTCTGAAGTATATTTAGATCCCGGTCTTACTTTGTAAACAATTTAATTTCAGACTGTGTGGTACATAAAAACACTTGATCAAAAATTACCGAGAACGGGGCTAATCGGATTTTTTTTTCGTATTTTTGTTAGTATGATTCAAACTGGTTTTGCAACATTCCGAAAAATGTGTTTTAGAAACAACTTACTTTGGGCTATTTTTGACACCAAATAAGTTTGCTCCTGCTAAAATAATAGAGAATTTTTTTTAAGTTTCCAAATTTTGCTGATGTGGGGTTATTCGGGAAACTGTGTAAAACACTACAAAGTTCGAATTACCTCGCCTCCCCAGTGTAACAAAATAAAAAAAAAAACACGAAAGAATATCTATAATTTTGTACCAAAATATCCAAATTAAACGAAAATACAACGTTAATAATTTTTATTTCAAAATAGCTAAGAAACATAGTATTAAAGAAATTAAAAAACATTTTATTTCCTGATTTTTTTTTAAATTTGTAAAATTTTCGTCTTCCACTTCCGTCTATAACTTATATCTTGTAACTTTTTAACAAGTAGATCCACACTGATATCATCTGAAACTTCGTTTGATGTACCTATTCACACAGTTTTCTGTTTTGATTAAAAAAAGTTCTTAAATCACAAAGTAAACAACGCAAGTACAAGTTTTAGTCACAATAAACAATTTCTGAAACAACCCGATGGGGTTGTCCAAATAACCCCATTATGTTAATTATATATTTTTTTTAATATAAATTAAAAATTCATGCTTTGTAACGAAATCTAACTTCACGATTTAACAGATATTTTCTAGCTTATCGGCTCAAAATTCACAAACTGTGTGTAGAACACATTTTTAGGTTGGAGGTTAAGCTAACATCTCCCCCTGGGTAGGTCCCATTACCATCTCTAATTACCAGAACTAGATGGCGTTGAGTGTTTTTTTTTTTGACTGATTACCGAAAAGCCCCGCAATTCCCGATTAGCCCTGTTCTACGGTGCATATGCTCTTTTATGTTGGGGATATTTATTGTCGGCAGCACCTGTCTTTAAGTAGCAAAGGCGAATGATCAAGATTCTAGCAAAAATAGGTTTCCGGGACGATTGCACAATTTTTTTTGTAATTTTCAAAATTTTAACGATACCTAGACCCGGTTTATAGAACAATTTAACAACGCGATCAGTTTAACGACGCAATTAACCCGTCACATGAACAAATTCAACCAATCACATTCTCAAATTTACGGGTTAATCGCGAGTTAAATTTTAGCTCGAGTTAAATATTTAACTCGGCTTCTATAAACCGGCCCGTACTAATGTTTTTATTTACATCTGTTTAGTCTACATAAAGAAAAATCTTCATTTTTATCAAACACGTGACGAATTTCACGCAAATAAAGCAGTTTACCGAGAAAGTAACTTATATTTGGGTTTTTTACGTTTAAAATGATTACTGTTATTATTATTATTATAACGAAGCAAATTTTGGCGGGCCGGAAACCGCCGTAAGGGTATCGGGGAAGGAGGAGAATTTTACGAAAATCGTAAACACCAAGTTGGATTCTGTACGTTCCTGCCTGCCGTCTCCAAGACCATGCACCGTTCCAAACCGCCCTCATTTTGATCTATTTTTTCCGTCGTACTGATAAACACCCCTTTTCGGGTACCGTCACCGCACCGTCCCCGTTTCAGTGTCTCCGCCTCCCCAGAATCCGAAGCAGCTCGTCCAGTGAAGAGTCGCCGCCAGAGAGGTTACTGGAGTGCTCTTTACTACAGTCAGCTGTGTACCAGGGCAGGTAATAAAACCTGTTATCCCTATGTTTCTACCCAAATATTATTTTGTTGCGGCTCACGGGATCACTGGAGATACGTGTCTTCGGCTGGAGCAGACCCAGGTGCTTGCTTTTCGTCCCCGTAGAAGACGCCTACCCACCTAGTCTTAAGGTGCCTGTAAATGCCAGGTTAGTGTTCCTCTACAGGAACACTATGCCAGGTGTGTCATCAGCGCCACTAGCCGGTCCACCCTCGAAGATATAATTAAATAGTTGTTGAACTTATTTTTATCCGAGTTTCCACACATTGCACTTTATGTCGTTTGATTACTTACTTAAATTCAATGTCTTCTTATTTTTGTTTTCAGATGACGTTCTATGGTTACTACGTGTACTCTGTATAGATATCTTTCAACTCAAAGTGGTAAAAGTAACGATATGTCTCATTTTGATCGTAAATACATTATTAGTCTTCATTCAAACTTACTTTTTTTTGACAATATTTGAAATTGACTACTTTGCGATGTATGCGCCCTGTTACTTTGGAATGTTCTACGTAAGTATAGTCACACATTAATAGTCATTTACTAAAAGTATACTAAATGACAGAAAAAACTCAAACAGCTAGGGAAAATTTGGTACATATATTGAGG